ACTTGGCAAGACCTCATCTCTACAATAAATCAAAAATCAGCCGGGTGTGGTAGCATGCACCTGTAGTTCCAGCTACTTGGAAGGCTGAGGCGGAAGGATCGCCAGAGCCCAGCAGGTCAAGGCTGCAGTGGCCGGGAGTGGCCACTGCATTCCAGTCTGGGTGACAGAGTGAGACTCCAACTCAAAAAAAATAAAAAATTTTTAAAATTAAAAAATAATAAATAAATAAATGTTAAAGGATGCTCTTGTTGGTTTTATACCTAATCCTAACCCAACTCTAGATATGTAGTAGGCAATCAGTAGATACTGAAGTAGATTGCAAAGTGTGTCAAACTTTTCTTCACTACTATATCCCCTAGAAGAGTGTCTGGCATGTGGGAGACACTTTGGTATTTGTTGAATGAGTGGACGTTTGCTAATGCCTTGAGCTAGCCAGTGGAACCTAGTATCTTAAGAACCTCCTCCCTCTTCTCTTCTCCTTTCATTTGGCCCCTTAGCCTGTCTCCTTCAGATGGAGCCAGTAAACTACGAACGAGTGAGAGAATACAGTCAGAAAGTCCTGGAACGACAGCCTGATAATGCCAAGGCCTTGTATCGGGCTGGAGTAGCCTTTTTCCATCTGCAGGACTATGACCAGGCTCGCTACTACCTCCTGGCTGCCGTCAATAGGCAGCCTAAAGGTGAGTGAGAAGGGGCTTGAAATGGTAAAGACACATAAAATTGTTCTGCTGAGATGGTATCTGTGGAAAAGGGGCTTTCTTTTATTTTACTTTTTCAGTGTATTGACTCTTTTGAATAGTCATTTACATGGTTCAAAATTGAAAAAGTATAAAAAGGTATACAGTAAACAGGTTTTTTCGCACTCCTATGTTCTTGTCCCTACAGGAAAGCAATATTATTAGTTTTATGTATATCTATAGGAATATATATTAAACAGGCATATTTATCTGTTTCGTGTGTGTGTGTGTGTGTGTGTGTGTGTGTGTGTATATATACACATACACATATATATGTATATATATATTTTTTAGAAACCATCTCAGCTGGGTGTGGTGGCTCACGCCTATAATCCCAGCACTTTGGGAGGCCAAGGTGAGAGAACTGCCTGAGCCTAGGGATTCAAGACCAGCCTAGGCAACTTGGCGAGACCTCATCTCTACAATAAATCCAAAAATTAGCCAGGTGTGGTGGCATATGCCTGTGGTTCCAGCTCTGGAAGGCTGAGGCAGAAGGATCACCTGAGCCCAGCAGGTCAAGACTGCAGTATCTGTGAGTGTGACACTTCACTCCAGCCTGGGTGACAGAGTGAGACACCAACTCAAAAAAAAAAAAGAATGTGGATCCCAGTGAATAAACTTGATAATCCTCATTCTGCCAGCTTTCCAGCTGGGGGCTGACCTTTGCTCTAGTTACCATTTTATCCTTTAGTTCAGCTAACCCCAGGTATGACCTAGAAAAGGGGCAGACCTACTGAGAGAGATTTTGATACTTGGTACTTTGTTTCCAAGGCAAAAAAAATGATATTGTGAAGGAGATGATAGACTCATTCCTATGTTGGAGGGTTCAGCACTGAAAATTGTCTCCCTTTTTGCTTTCTGGCTTAGAGCAGCCACTGGATACTAGAATCAGAGGGTCCCCAAATTTATATCAGTGCAGTAAAATCTAACTAATCTAAATGAATGGGAAAACCACTATGTATTAATTATATGAGTATAAAATATGAACCATATGTGCATTTTTCTAACCTTCAGGTACAGAGATTAACTTCCTTCTTTGTGAATAGGTTCTACCATAATAATAATAATATTTCATCGAACTCCCTTTCATCATAAAATTAGCAACCAGCCCAGCTCTGTACAGAGATTTTTTTAAAAATCCAAAGTGATATTAATATTGATTCATGAAATTTACTTTTACATAGAATAACTGCGATATATTCAGATCTTGGAGAGACTTTTTAATTTTTTTTTTTTTTTTTTTTTTTTTTTTGAGTTGGAGTCTCACTCTGTCGCCCAGACTGGAGTGCAGTGGCCGCTCCTGGCCACCACAGACTCGACCTGCTGGGCTCCGACGATTCTTCCACCTCAGCCTTGCAAGTAGCTGGAACTACAGGCGCGCGCTACCACAACTGGCTAATTTTTGACTTTTTAATTTTTTAATTTTTTTATTTTTTTTGAGTTGGAGTCTCACTCTGTCACCCAGACTGGAGTGAGGTGGCTACTACTCCGGCCACTGCAACCTCGACCTGCTGGGCTCCAGCAGTGCTTCTCAGCCTTCCAGGTACCTGGAACTACAGGCGCGCACTACCACGCCCGGCTAATTTTTGATTTATTGTAGAGATGCAGTCTCACCAGGTTGCCTGGGCGGGACTCGAACCCAGGGGCTCACGCAATCCACTCACCTCGGCCTCCCAAAGCGCTGGGATTACAGGCTGAGCCACCAAGCCTGGCTAATTTTTTTTCTTTTTTTGAGTTGGAGTCTCACTCTATCGCCCAGACTAGAGTACAGTGGCTGCTCCCGGCCACTACAGCCTCGACCTGCTGGGCTCCAGCGATCCTTCCACCTCAGCCTTCCAAGTAGCTGGAACTACAGGCCTGCGCTACCACACCCAGCT